ATTTATAACAGTTTCGTCTCCCTTAACGCACAGTCTGCACTGAGCGTCTTCCGCCATGCCCATTGTGCTCATTTGGTGAAGCAGTCTGCAACTACCAGCGCGGATATTATGTCCAAAAACCTAAAAAAACTTCAAAAAAACCCACCAAAATGTTATCTTGCAGACTAGGTAGGCTATGCTCTCTGTGAGCGTCCATCTATGGAGGAATGACTCAAGGACACGCATTGTTGGTTGCAGAAAGCAAGTATATGTTTTGTGAAGCCGAGTAGCCTCTAGTGTTTATCTGTGTATTGGTGGTGGTGGAAAATTATTAGTGATTTATGGTTATGTTCAAATACGATTTTTGGTGTTTTTGTGTTTTCATAAGCTTTGAGGAGCATTACGGGAAATCGCTACCGTGGCTATGTTGCAATTAAGCCACATCACAGAAAAATTAGGAAAGACGCATCACAAATCAAATATTTGTGCCTCACATTTAGGCGCTGATTGAAAAAGAATGTAATAAACCTTTTCACTATAATAAATATTCCTGTCTGTAGCATATTTTCTCACCTGTTTCTGCACAAACCAGGGATTCTCTTTTCTTATCTCTCTCATTTTTGAAATTCAGCAAATTTGCATATGTAAATGCCAGAATGAACACGAAAAAGTGGATTTTATTTATTTATTTTCTATTTATAATATGTCATACATTGCTAAAATAACGCTTCTTATGTTTCCTTTTATAGGAGAAAAAGTGACAATGTTAATGTACTTTTTATTTTGGAATGAAGTGAGGAAAAATTAAAAACGATTTTGGGGAAATTAGGTTCCTTTGGTCTATATCTGGAGATACTCGGAATTAGGTAACTTTCAAAGTTCCAATTTTGAAATAATTGCTTAAACGAATTAGCAAATGAAAAAGCAATGTCTTCCCTAAGGAGAAGCCACTGCTTTGCAGTACTGTTTGCTACGAGGTTACAACGTCGCAGTACGGCGTTTTCTTGAATGCAATAAAAGTTTTAATAACACGCATTCCTAACATTCTAGGACAGCCGGCCGGCGTAATTGTGGGAAATTTTTCAAAATTTTTACTGCCTATTCGATCGTTATCAATGCTGGAATTGGGGCAATTGGACGAGTGATTGATTATTTATTTGAAATCCATTTCGTGAGTCATAGGTAATGATAACATCCGGGAATCAAATGAATTTTAATTCATTTATGGTGCACCAGCAATTAATTGAACAAAAAACCATAGTGTCATATCTTAAAATATTTGTAATCTTGGCAACTGCAGTTAGGGCAACACCTCAACCAACAGAAAAAATCCGGAGCTTTGAAAATTCGTGTTTTTATAGATTTGAGGCTAATGAATATCTGATTCATGTCCGTTTCTTGTAGTTTTATTTAATGGTTTTTAGGTCAATTGGTTATGAATGAAAATATTCCCACATTTTCTGAAGACGACTCAATTTAAAATAAAGCAAAACGTCGAATAAAATGTAAAAATATTTTTATTTATATAAACAAAGAGATTTTCGACTTATTTTGGATTTGGTTCTCCTCCGTATCCGACAATGTCAACGTCCGTATTCCCCAAGGATCAGTTGTGGCTCTAACACAATGCCGTTGTGTTCTATATTTTCTAAAGTCCTGCCAGAGGGACTTTCAAACTTGTGCTTCTGCTTTTGGCTCGGTTAATATCTGTGTATCGATAACTGTTCGGTCCGAAAACTTTGTTCTTAGCGCTTCGAGATTCTTGAAAAAAATGCCAGGAGATGCTTTTCCCAGCTCTACTAGCCTTGAAAAGTTGATCTTTGATGTTACTTGGATGTTTACGTGTGGCAGAAACTAGAAACAATAAGGTTTATAGTTTTTTAAATGACTTGGTATGTGTTGAGTGCATACAGTGATCTTATAATTTGCAATTGTTAGAATTAACATACAGGTATACACACATAAGCCTCCTTACAACCAACTTTTTAGCCGACGGTTTCAGAAGAAGGATTATGTTTTTCATGCGTGTGAATGTATCTATGAGAATAAGAATTATTATATTTTACGGGCCACAGTCTAAAAGACTATTTCGTCTTCGCAGCGTGAGTAACGCTGGCTACATTGAAATGTCATAAAGCCTGAATGGCTGATTTCTAACCCAAACTTCAACTTTGAAAGTTCTATTTCACGGCTCATAGCCCAAAGGATTTCACGGACTTATACATTTGAGCTATCCTTAGATTCGTCTTACAATTAAAAGTTCAACATTATTAGTTACTGCAGCCGGTTTTTTCTACAAGTTCATATTTTTATGTTCACCTCCTTATCCATATAAGAAACTTTCATTTTCTCGACCTCCTAGTCTGCCAGTACTCGTTTGACTAACTACAGAATCACGCCCTAGTAGTTATATTTCTTGATTAAGTGTTTTAGTTGGTAATATATGATAAAACTGTCTTCTGTCTATCTAAACTACCCTCAGCCAGTCGTGTTTGACATGGTACATTTTAAGAGGGTCCAAATTAGTTTAAAATCAAGACGATTGAGATAAAGAAGGCATAAAACACACGATTCTTTCACAGAAGGACGCTTCAAAACTGTGGTGTTTAGTAGACTGTTCAGCCGTTTCATGTTTCATTTATGTACGTTTTATGTTCATTCTTGACTATCGAAAAAGCATATTTTTGTGGTTTTAACGCACCATCATTTTCTTCATGGAGTCTAACCGCACACAGACGTTATTTTGTTGGAAATTGGTTAGTAACGTTACTTATAATTAGTAAAATATTAAGTCTGTATAAAGAGCTCTATGTTTATGTTGGGACTTAATATCCAGTTTTAAATATTCACTCCTGCTATTAAGTATGAAGAAAGTCTGGATTCACATTACGTAAGAAAACTTTCCTTCCATGCCAGCTCCTGTGTGTTCTTTTGATAAAACTGATGTCATTTCTTCATTTTCGTGAACCTTGCTGCTAGTATAGATTTTGGAAGAAGGGAATCACGAAAAAAAAATGAGACGTCTTCAACACTGGTTATCGTTTAGGCAATTTGTAGGATCCGATTTAGGGTGCGTTTGATAAATATTACTGAGTGGCGCTTCAGTTAGTTAATGTCAGTTGTTTTATTTACTACACAAACCCTAGTGAAAGCAAAAAATAGGTGTCAGTGTCAAATTCAGTAATTTTATCTTACAAGCTATGTGCATATAGAAGTGTACAATTTATTTGTAATAAACAGAGTGTTCCTCTATTGACCTGCTGGAATATTCCCAGGATATGATTCCTCAGATAATGTTATGAAAAAATTGGTTGAGTGTTTAAGAGACAAATGGTTTTTTATACTTATACATATACAGGGTGTTTCAAATTCGAGCTTTTCCATTGGGATCTTGGAAACTTTAAGAGATACAAAGTCGTTTAGACGGGAGGAAAGTTGCGTATTTGTATAATCAACAAAATGTCGATTAGAAAGTTTAGAAATTCAAAGTACTCCGGAGAGGGACGAAAAAAGCGAATTTCCACAAAATGGTTCTAAGTCTTTCCCGACTTTATATACAGAAGGATTTCAAAATAAATTGCACATTTCTCCTATACAAGATGGAATGTTTGAAATTTCAATATGTCGTTTCGTCTCTTGTCCTCTAGCATCAACTTTATTTTTTCTTATGGAGCCATATTGGATGTTTGCACAGATGGTAGAGTTTTTCATTCTGATCTTACAAATGTATAATACGTTATACATTGCATTGCCAAACCTTAGTTATTTCAAAAAAGCAGAATTTTCTAGGCAGGCGTTTAAATTATCAGATAGTCATGCGTTATGTTGTCATAGTTACTTATTCCCCTCTAAGATGGCGTAGTCATATTTCTAATTCGACATTTCTTCTTTCGACTTCCATCACCAACATTGTTTTTTCATATGAAATTTTGTACATCCATTCAACTTTTCAGCCCTAAAGGCAGTGATGTTTTTCCTTAGTTGACCATGACTTTGTTATTGGATGAATATTATAAGGAAATAAAAAGGTATGGTGAAACCCGAACACAAACCTGAAAATTTTATTGATGGTAATAATAATAAATAAGCAGAAGTTAATCATAGCAGATGTTCAAAATGTTGTCCGTTATTTTGTCGGCAAGGTCTGACTCTTCTCTGTTCATTGTTCAATGTTAGATTCATCTCTCTTCTTCTCAGAATTCCCAACTCTGTTGCCATCTTCAATTTGGGGTCTGGTCTGGTATATGTGAAACAAATGGAATTTGATAATTTCAAGGCCTACCTAGGAACTGTTTTTCCTGCATAACTAAGGTTTGGCAATGTCAAAGTACGAAATATTATCCAATCCAATATGGCGTCCATAAGAACAAATAAAGTTGATGCTAGAAGAGACGAAACGTCATATGGAAGTTCGAATTATTCTATTCCATCTTGCAGAGGAGAAGAAATGGCAATATTAACATGCAATTTATTTTGGAACTCAAACAAAGTCAGGAAAAAATAAACAAGATATGGGGATAAATCTGATAAGCAAAACAAATGACACATTTTTGGAATCAAAATTTAAAACCTTGTTCATCTGTGTAAAAATCTAATATGGCGTTCATAAGCAAAAATAAAGTTGATGGAGGACAAGAGACGAAACTTTACATTGAAATTCTGGAAAAGTGGCAGTGCTAACGTGCAATTTATTTTGAAATCCACCTGCAAATAAAGTTAGGAAAAATTGAAACGATTTTTTCGTCTCAATCCGGAAAGTGACTTTCGAAACTTTCTAAGCGGCATATTGTTGATTACTCAAATACGCTACTTTGACCTCCATTTAAGCGACTTCGTATCTCTTACAGTTTCGGAGATCCCAATGGCGAGGGTCCAATTTGAACCGCACTGTATATAATACTTGAATATTATTTGACTGAATTGATATAATTTATAATCATTGCAAAATGCAATGCAACAGCATAGTAACTTATATTTTGTGTCGTTCTTTATACAGACTTTATGTGTGATAACTGTTTCAGTCTGAGACTAGTATGGAACCAGGAACTCCTACAGAAAACCGATCAAAAACAGCCTGTGGCAGCCACTTGGCACGAACAGTTATAGATGACTTTTTTCTGACCTATTGTACGTAAATAATATATATATATATATATATATATATATAATAATATATAATAAATAATCTTATTTGTCCTTAGCTCTTTTATCTTTTACGATATTATCGCTGCTATCCATCCAATACACTTCATTTGAAATTCTAATAGCACATCAAAGAGATTTCTCAAATATGTCTTGTGCATCAGTTGAGCTACAACGTTTTTGTTTTCATGGCAAGTTGCAAATTTCATATTCGCGGGTTCTACATAGAGTTTCACAGATTATATATTAAGTTACGTCAAAAATATATCTTTTCACCCTTGTAGCGCAGATTACTGCTTATCGTATCTCCGTTTGACCTAAATTTTTTGTCACTGTATATCGAATTGCTTGGCCATTGGCCGAATAGCATTCGTTGGCAATTGAAACCAAAGTTGACGATCATTGGCCATTCCTTGCCAATCCGCATTGGTCCAGCATCCACTTATTTGTGTTGGCCCAACATGTGGTTCCGACATCATATTCACTTACTCTCGTAACCTGCAGCAATCGAACTGATGTCATCCTACAATAATTACCCAACTACACATCGCTCTATATTCGATTGTGAGGTATGCTTATGTAGGCTAAAGCATGACAGCGCTGGCTGGTCGTAGAGGGCCTTGGAATGCAGAGCTGTGGGTGCACCGCACTCTGGGATCGCTGCGGTGCACCTTATAAGGTCTAGCGCCACACAGGCAGCAGTCGTACCGCGCGACGTTGCCACATTGAGAACGGGAGTTCCCAGAAAAGGCAAATCGGTTGTCGGCCGGTCAGCGATGATAGGATTGTTGGGTATTGGAATTCAGGGCATTGAAAGAGATTTAGTGACGAAAATGAGTACAGGAAACATCTGAAATGCATATACAGGAGAATGAAAGCACATTCTTTGTAATACGAGTAAAAGAACTGTATCCAAAAATTCGTTTTCACCTTGTTTGGCTTTTGTGTAATTTATAGTGATGGAGAAATCCCAATATTTCCAACTGTAACCTATCTGCAACTACAACAACTTGCAACGTCAAATCGCGATTTCAGTATATAATTGCTACATTGGTGAAACAGAAGGCCAGTTAAATGTAGAATTAAAGAACATAAAGGTTATATACATGTAACCAAGGGAGAAAGCTGTACAGTGCCTTACTTTGTCCCCGTCCCCTTTGATTTTTTGAACAGATCAATTCAAAAAATTAAAACTTGAGGCAATGAAATTGATGCGTGAATACCATATTTTAGAGTAAAATTGACAGATGAAAATGTCAAGATGACCTCTGGGCGCCATCTTGGCAAAAAATTATATGAAAACGGGGGTCTCGTGGCACATCATTTTGAAGCTACTGACGAGTACCTTATAACCCTAGAATATAAAGTCAATACCTTCACCTACTACAAAATGGTGGTACATTTAATAATTACTTGAACACAGACCCACTAACATGCATATCTCTACAAATAGTTGTAATTCCCTGCCGTATCCACAGCAACAGCGATAAAAACTTGTTTTGTTATTTTTTGTTGGCCGTGACAAGAATATCAGTACGAAAACAAACATCATTGTACAGTTAAAATATTCTAATTTAGTTTTCGGTTTTAGTGCTAGATCCTGTTTGAACTGTTTTCAAAATGGTCAATTCTCGTCCATTGAAAGAAAAAATCGAAGCGATTTGTATTTATGGTGCGACGCGTGACTTTCACGAGGGCGAAAGCATTTTTAATGATCGTTTCCCGAATCGTTCTATCTGTAGATAATATTTAAGGGACTTGTATCTAAATTTATAACTATTGGTAGTATAAACAACAAAAAGCAGGTCATCCAACCATCCTGGAAGAAAAGCAAGTTCAAATAATTGGTGAGATCATAGTGTACTTTCTCCATCGCGAATGTATGTAAGGTCTGCCCTATGGAGACTTTTGAAAAAGAATAAGTATCTCCCATAAAAAATTCAAATGGTACATCTGCTAACTGAAGATGACCCTGATCGAAGAACGGAATTCTGCGAGACTATGACGGAAACCATTGCACGGCTTCCTACCTATATCCAAAACATTTGTTTTAGTGATGAATGTACATTTTTTCTCAACGGTATGTGCATAGACAAAATTGTCGTTACTGGAGTGACACCAATCCTCACGTCTTCCGGGAAACTCATACTCAATATCCACAAAAACGTTTGGGCTGGGATATTGGGAAATCATATTGTGGGGTCTCTATTCATTGAACAAACTTTAACCGGGGAAGTGTGGATATGCTGGAAAATACTGTTGACCCTCTAATCACTGAAATCGTCGAGGCGAATCCTAATGAATTCGATACTGATATTGTATTCCAGCAAGATCATGCTCCACCACACTACTACAGACAAGTTAGGAATTATTTAGATAACACTTTCCCCGGTCGTTGGGTTGGCCGTCGATGTCCTGCGAAATGGCCAGCTCGCTCGCCAGATTTGACACCTTTAGACTTTTTTTATGGGGCTATTTGAAGGTGTACGAAACTGAACCTGCTTCAATATTGGATACACAGCTGAGAATAACAAACATTTGTAGAAATGTCGATGTTACTATATTTGAAAATATTCGACGTGAAATTATGGACCGGCTGTTATTGTGTCAAGGTCAATTAGTTCAAGGCAACCATTTCCAGCATCTTCTAAACTGAACTCAACGTATTTATTCGAATTATCAGGTTAAATGTCAATGTATTCAGGTAATTATTAAATGTACCACCAGGTATTGACGTTATATTCTAGGGTTATAAAGTACTAGTCAGGAGCTTCAAAATGATGTGCCACAAGACCCCCGTTTTCATATAATTTTGTTTTTCAAGGTGGCGGCCATCTCGACATTTTCATCTGTCAATTTTACTCTAAAATATGGTATCCACGTATCAATTTCATTACCTCAAGCTTTAATTTTGTGAATTGATCCGTTCAAAAAATCAAAGGAGAGGGGGGGGGGCATTAAAGAAAAGCACTGTATAACAAAAGGGGAAACTTCAAAATTAGCACTCGGCAAACATGTATGTGAAGGAGAAGAAGAAATCTCAATATTCCACAAAAACATATAATTGCAAAAGGAATGTGAAGGAATCAGCATATATAGTTTCTTTCACTTCCTTTGTAGGCTGTGACCCAATTTGGTTCAGGGTTCATGAAGAAAAGATATAACTGAAATTCTCCAATCCGACTGGTGGACCTTTTCTTCTTCTTCTTTACTTCCATGTTTTTTTTATGGTTTGTTATTGGATCCCAAATGAGCAGATGTTTCGCTTCGCCACCTCAAACTGTCGCATTTTAGATCCATGAACAATGCAGATGCAGATTGCGTAACAGTCAACGGGTATGTTTCGATAACAGTTCTGGGTGTTTTCGCGTTCTCGAAGTCGTTTTGAGGGTTTCGGGACGATGACCGGGGTCTGATACATAATAACATAACACAATCTCAGTCTCGCTTGTCGCTTTGAGGGAGCTGGATTCTTTGGGTGCGGGAATGCTTACCCCAGGTGGTCCTGGGCTTTGCACATTGCCATTTAAAATTGTAACGATACTATAAGTTCGCGTAATCTCGGCATGGTACTGGACCGTGTAGATACTGCTTAGTAGCATAAAAAACAAGCTAGAAGACAAATAAAAATATAAAATATGTTGCATCTTGCCTACTTTGAGATTGTGGTACTGATCCAGAGATGGGACCTGCCGATCTTACGACACTTTTTCGGAATCAGTTCAAATAGGACTGAACCTGTACACATGTACATATGCCCAACCTGTAGACACGTTTATGGGTAAACAAGCAACTGAAATGCGATCTGTATCGAATTTTGTAAGCTCAATTGGTGGATTACAATTCTTTACGTAATGATCATGCGAGTCTTAGTGTTAAAATGTTAAGATTTTGAGTACTTATCGAGACGCGTCATTTAACAAGGCGTAAATATTATCGGGGATCTCTGCGGATGGGAGTACACTTTCTAAAACATTGTCGAAACATCGAACTTAGCAGGGCCCTTAACTTTATCCGGTATCTCTGCAGGTTGTACCGAATATGCCACTTCCAGATACCTCGAGCAGCAGAATCTTGTAGAACTAATCCATCAAGTCTTAGAAGCTGTTAAATGTTATCCGGTATCTGTGCAGGTTGTAACGAGTTTATTTCTTCCGGAGGGTTTAAAGATGTTTCTTTCCAAAAAAAAAAAAAATGGTCGAAACGCGCCATTTATCAAGTCGTTCAACATTGTCCGGTATCTGCCAGTTATACTCATACACCAGCTCCCGAGAGTCTTACACTTCAGGCAGTAAAACCTGATAGAACGATTTCATTAAGTTTCGGGGATCTTAAAAGCTGTTCGTTTCTAAAAAAAGATGTCGGAACGCGGCACTTCGCGAGGCGCTAAACGCCGGGCTGGGTCTCTGGGCAATCTGGGTCTCTTTCTACCGGCCCGCCTTGCCGCCACAGATCACCGTAACAGGCCCAGATTAATGGTGTCCGTAGCAGAAAAGCAATTTCCCACTTATTCACCTACGGCGTCAACCTATTAATCAGTTGTTGTAGAAGGATGGGACCACGATGCGATCAACCAGCGCCAGCGCCGAAGCGCCAGCAGCGGTCAAACGCCCGCCACCATAACCAACTTTGCCTTTTTCGGCTCCTCCGGTCGCCAAGCACTGCTGCTGTCCTTCCCCAGGGGCGTAGATTTGGGTGTAATAATTATCTCAAGATGTTAATGTAGGCGTTTGTTATGAAATATATCAAATTAATCTAAGTGACATAGAAAAATAAACCCCAGTAATAATGAGTGTATTACAAAGTTTTTTTAGGTATATACAGGGTGTCGCAGGAATAACATGCCAGAATGCCAGGGTGACACGTGAGGTAAATTTGCTTCAAATCAATCAGATAAAATCAACATATCTTAGTAAGAGTTTTCTACTTAGAGTATTAATTTCACTGAAAGCTAGCACAGTATGCTAAAAAAAATTATTACATTCTGTTTCAATGTGAAAACCTTTAGTAAATTTTGACTAATTACGGTGGAAAAGAAATGTATCAATCTGATTCGGCAAACAATCTTAAAAAGTAGCCTATTTAATGCTCTTTTAAGAATATTATATATTATTATATTTTTTATTTGTAGTATTTCGCAAGTATTACGACTTCAATGACAAAAGTTGGAATTATTCAGTTTTAAGTAAAAAGAACCTACAAATGTTATACCATTTTTGCTGATTCACAGTCTGGTACATTTTTTTTCTCGGTAATTAGTCAAACTTTAGTAAAGGTTTTCGCGTTGAAACCAAATGTAATAATTTAGTACATTCAGCATACCGTGCTAGTTTTCAATGAATAAATCTATTAATGGTAGCCCAGAGGAAAAATCATATGTTAGAAGTTCTGTATAGCCATAACAGGCAAAAAGGAGCAAAAAATATAGATTTTTTTTAAAAAACAAATGTGGCAATATCTCGAAAACTAGAAAACTTTTACTAAGGCCATGTTGATTTTATCTGATTGATCTGAGGCCACTCAACCTCTGGGTCGCTCTGGCGTGTTATTCCTGGGACACCCTGTATTTAGGTTAGGACAAAAAACGATCAAAGTACGTAAGCGGTAGTTATTTTGTAGCTACAATTGACATTTGATCATTGTATAATGCAATGTGACATGTGCTTAATCTGTTCGTTATGACTAGAGCGAGAAGACAAGCGATTTTTTAACAGACTTAGCCAGTTTGATAGGAGGCGGTTTGTGTGAGACTGTTGGTTCTTTAAAGAAATATCCACCACGGTGCACAGAAGCCTACATAATATGGTGGTGGTTTGTTCTCGGGCACGGAATCAGGAACGCCGTACACGAAAAACGGCCCCACACTAAGATCCGTTATCTTAGGATTTGAGGTCTGCGGGAGTGCTTGTGGTCCACAAGTTCAACTGAAGACCAATGGTGTGGAGAACGAGGAAAGCCTATTACGCTGCGAATTGTTTATTGCCGGATGTGATTTCTCAGATAATACAGCTATGGACTTACTCCTTGGTAATGAAGTGATCGACTGACTTGGTGCAGAGAACAGCGGAACTGAGACTTTGGATGCAATACCATTATCTTTAGTGATGAATCCAGATTCTGGGGATGCATGCTGGCCGGTGCAAAGGTGAAAGGGGACGAGGTGACTGCCGACATTCTAAATTTTCTATTGGAAACGCACGTTTCAACAAGATACAGCGCGACCACATACTCCGTTTACACCATACTCCACAGACTTCAGCAGCACTTTGGCACGAGGTAGAATATAGAATAGAAAGGATTATTTAGCTTTAAGCTACTTCAAACAATAATAAATATTATTTACAAAAATATGTTAAATTTACGAAGAGGTCGTCACATCAAACCAAAATAGTAACTCCGAAGTCTCTTTTTGAAAATTTCAGCATTACTAGATGTTTTTACATTAATAGGCAGATTGTTATACATTTTTAGACCTTCAACAAACATTGACTTTTCTAAACCTTTGAATCTAAATCTTTGTATATGGAAATTTTCTTTTGATCTAATGTCGTAACTTTGTATTTCACATCTTTATTTAGAAACTGTTCAAGATAAGGTGGAGCCTGATTATTGACAATTTTATATAAAAGAATTAAATTTGCTTCTTGAATAATTTGGTGTATGTTTAAAAAATTTAATGCCTTTAGCATAACCTGTATATGAGTATACTTGTACAATTTAACAAAATCCGCATACATCTATTTAATAGAACTTGCAACCTTTGCTTTTGATCATTTGTGCAAGTAATCAAAAGTGATGCACAATAAGTAAAATGAGGAAAAATTATTGTATTGTAGACTAACTACCCTTCTGCACCAGGGACTTAGATTCTCACAAATTCTACAAAAATACCCGATCTTTTTGCCTAATTTCAGACATATATATATATATTACAATTACTTGTTAGTTGGGAAATTGGCAAAACTTTTAGGCTAAAGTTGACTCTTTTGACGACAAAATCAAGCTTTCGGCATTCTCTATGGAGCCATCATCAGGATTCTGAAAACACAATTGTGATGCTAGCAAAGAAGACAGATTTAAAATGTCAGACAACTTACTCGTCGGTGAGGTTGCAGCCACAAGGTGTTTCAGAAAGAACGTAGAGAAGATCGAACTTGTGTTCAGTATAAAAACAAAAGGACGGGGACATTGGGCTTGTTAAAAAACGACAGATACCTTCGTTAAAAGTTAAGAAAAAATAAAAATTATATCAATAAACCCGAACAAGCTAAAAATATTACACGTGGGGAGACATTTTGTTGAAACAATCGGAATGCAGTCCCTAACCTTCTACTACCGCTACACGTGGAGAGGGGGAAAGGGCACGGAACGGTAAAGCGTCGACAGAAGACAAGTGATTGACGCGACGGAACGTGGAAATGTACACCTCTCTGTCCAACTTTGGGTATGAAGTATACGAGGGACGCTCGGTAAATCTCCACCCAAAATTACTAAAATGCTGGAATAACTTGTTTTGGAAAAGAGTGTGTGGTTCATCTGAATGCAAGAATGTGTGATATTGATACAACCTTGAAAAGATGGGTTATGTGAGTGAGAAAATGTATTCTAATTTTGTGAAGATGTTGGATCAATTTGGACAAGTAATTGTATTTTGTACCCAACTAGTCGTTGGCTTTTGCAATGACTACTTCTCATATATATATATATACATGTTTGTTGAAAGTTATTTGCTGATATAATGCCTAAATACTTAACATTATCTACAAAATCAAGTACCCTCTCTCAATTTTCACTGGCATATTTAAATCCACCAATTTCTTGCAATTATTCTTCGAATCTATAATCATACATTTCGTTTTTCTCACATTTAATTTAATCTTGTTTGTTTTTAACCATAAACTAAGTTTGCTCATTTCACTATTCATTACATCTACAATTTCGTTACTTACTGAATCACTAACTGAAATTAATGTATCATCCGCAGACAAATTTATAAAGGAATTGCTAAGGACATTCGACATATCATTGACATATAGAATAAACAGCAATGGGCCTAGTAGGCTGCCTTGAGGTACGCCATGATCAACAGAAACATTACTTGATATTTTACTTTCAATTTTTACCACGTGTAACCGCTCAGATGAATAATCACCCACCCACAAGAGGGCTGTACCCTTAATTCCATACATTTCACATTTTCTCAACAACAATTTTCTATCAATAGTTCCAAACCCTCTTTTTAGGTCGACAGACACACACAATCACGTTACCATCATCTACATTTTTTTTCCACTTTGTACATACAAATTGGCATGCAGTTTCACAAGAATGATTTCTTTTGAACCCGGATTGCCTCTCAAAAAGAACATCGTTCACACGTAGATGCTCACTCAGCTGTTCATGCACTGTATTTCTATAACTTTCTCGATGACTGGCATAAGATTGATGGGTCGCAAGTCTTCAGGCTTACGTGGATTATTTGTTTTGGGTACTGGGACTATAATACTCCTCTTCAACAACGAAGGCGTCTTTCCTGTTCTGAACGGTGTATTTACAATATTCAAAAGGGGGTAGCCAATTACATCAATCAATTGCTTCACCAAACTGCATGTAAGTGCTTCATCACCCGTAGATTTTTTCTTCAATTGAAAAACAGTTTTGCGTAGCTTGTTAAATGAAATTTCTTTAAACCTCCAAAAATCCTCTTCTAAAGGCCCTGCTGTCGTTATAGCTTCCTGATTACTTGAAGGTATGGTGCTTACTATATCAGTTACACTCTTGATAAAATAGTTGTTCAATTTATTTTCTACAGTGTCACAGCTATTAATTTGTAAAGACATATAACCAATGTGTACGTGTTTGTTATTAACGAGATCTTTCAAGGTTCTACACATTTGTTTGCTGGTTGGTAAATTTGAAAATATAGTATTATACATCTCTTTCCCTTTGTGCTCATTTGACCTCTCCATCAATCCATGACTCGCAACTAGTACTTTGTTGTTCTAAAGGTGCACTTTCGTTAATACTTTTATTCACATTCTCAATAAAAGAAGTAGCCTGGGATGAGCTACCTCTAGAGGAACTTGATTATCTGATTAGAAGCATGTCCAGATGTGTTTTTTAGTGCATCGTGGAGGCAGAACTAATTATAAATTTCTTGCATGTTTTTAAACGGTAGAATTTTTTTGAAACTTTGATGAATTACCTAATCCTAAGAGACATGTATACAAAAAACGATTGTCATATCTTCATTATTACTGGGTGTTCTATTTCCTGTCACCCAGTATATTAACTTGTTAGGCAAATATGTGAAAAATCAGTAGAATTTAAAAATCAGCGTTGTTCAAACAGTTCAAACTACTCGATATGTGAGGCTGTAAATTGACCCAAACGTCATCTAATTCTCTATTCGAATAATTATTTATGCAGGCATGTATCTTGTTATATTCATACATTTGCCGAAATGGAATACCCCATGGGTTTTTGATTGGTTTTAGGTGTGGAAAACAAGATCACCAACCAAATACTTCATTCTTTCTTTCTGCAAACCGACCTATCGACCGCCTAGCAACATATATTCGAACGTTATTTTGTCGGAATATGGTAACTCGACCATTGTTGTCGTTTAAAAACGGCACTATATTTGGTTTGAGAATTTCGAGGTGTTTTGCTCTGTTTATTCCTGTTAAGGAGTAAGGTAATATTAAAACTTATTATCTTTGGCTCCCTAATTGAAAATAACACTTTAAGAAATATTGCCGTTCTTTTCGCAAATCATTTCAGGCGTTCAATTTTTCTCATAATCCTGCCTATTGCCCATCTCGAAACGTGAATTTATTATGTTGAATAAAATTAAATTCGATGGTGCAACTGGATTTAATTTAAAAAAGCAAAGCGCCATCTATTACCAGAATCCACGACTTCGATAGTGTATAGCAGCTGTCGGTTCGAAGTTTAAAGGTCTCAGTTAGCGTTTGATGGCCCAGTCATCACTGTGACCGCTAGGCGGCTAACGATTCTGACGTATACTAGATGTGGTCTACTTCCCATTGAGCAACTCTCGCTCAGGACCTCTATTCTTGAGTTTGAGAGAGTAGAAATTGTGAGAGAAAGTGGCAAAAAGTGGGTGTGGCCAAGAAATGCAGTATTCTTGAAATCAGTTCTATTGGAAAGTGATATAAATTAATTCACTTTAGGTAGTCGCGATTTCTCTTGGTACCCACCAAGAGAAACTGGAAAAATTCGTAGAAAATAGCGCTATATAACCTAAAAATTGACGTGTTTGGAATTGTTATTGTCGTTCCTGCTAAACATACTGCAAAAAATGATTAATTTTATTGAATTGATGTATTGGAACGACATTATTAACGAGGATGTAGATGAGGCAGTTGAGGAATGGGGGAATGGGAGATTGGGAGAGATATTCTTGGGCACCGAGATCCTTTTACAATTTCGGATCGAAAATTTGTACAGATGTTTAGGTTGACCAAAGATTTAGTGTATTAATTGCTGGAGACTCCATCCATACAACCATCCCAAAGTGCAGAACTTTCGATCACAACAAAGGCAAGAGTAGATATTGAGTTTTCTAAAACATTATCCTTTATTCTGTGATTGAATTTTCCCTGGTGCATTTCGGGGTGCTCTCGGAGAAATTAATTTTGTCCTCTTGTTCATTTGTAATGTATTTTTTCCAAGTTTTCGGCTCCATAGATAAAATTATGAGGAAATCTTGACCAAAATCTTTGGTTAGTTTTTGACTGTCAAAATTATCTCCGTTTTGATTGGTTTAACACGTTTACTCAAATCTGGCAATCCTGTGTCTTGATCTCCTTTGTCCTTTCTATCGAGTCCTTTCAAGAATACAGTATTTTCGAATCGATAGAAAACCGGCGGAGTAGAAACATAGAGGGAGTGTGATTTTCTATTAAAGTCAAAAATAGGGGCACTGGTCGATTCTGGCAATCAATGGCTCTTATTTCGTTAAATCTCATACCTTGCTATGCTTTCGCTCGTTCTCCCGCAGACCAAGCCTAAACTAAGCTGATGAGTTGAGAAGAAGCCCGAAACAGCTATCCGTAGTTGCCTATCTTTATCTACAGCGTCAATATTTATTGAAGCGGGGCCTTGGGTGGAGCTTCTGGAGTAGTCTTTGCATATGAAATTAATCTGACTCTCAACAAGAACTAGCGGATCTTGAGGTATTCCAGCTTCTTAGCGACATATATCATAGGCATTATTTATTTCTACAAGGTAACAAACACAGTAGTTTGCAGAGGGAAATATTGAATTCTTAGATCGGCCTTCTTATTCACTGTACGTGTGAATCTCAGTTTGACTAGTGTATCAAGACAAAACGTACTCCATAAATATCATTTAGAATAAGCTACATGTATATTAGTTTTGTCTGTCTTATCACCCATGTAGGTTGTAGTAAAGGAATCGAGAAGCAGAAAACAAAAAGTTGGTGGTAGGGCTAATAGTTATGCTCTCCATTTTGTAATTTACAATATCTGAAAACACAAGTCTTTCTGTGACTCATTTATGACAAACTATAATCGTTGGTTAACAGGGGCGTTCTATTTTTTCAGACGAGGTGCAATCAAACAATGGGTCCTCCTAATAGGGATATGGTAAGTAATGAAGCAATTTCTAATCGACATTGGGAACGCAAAAGCATTTCATTCAATTCCGAAAGCTCTACTTTATGCTTCCTAAAAACGGCTTGAGAAACTCAATACTGTAGCCGTTCAAATAAGAGTCACTCGCAATCGGACAAATATCTTATTATGAGGCAGGAGTCAAGTAGTAATATCCAAGTCGATTTATTATATACTGAGTGACAAAAAAGGTAAACACCTACGTATATCTATGTGATTTTAATAATTTTTGGCATATATGTTCAGTACCCTTACTAGTAAAATGATTAAATTTTCAGCCTGATTCGTCAACTGACTTCAAAAGCTGGTTCAGTGATGTGTTGAGGATCCACGATTTCTTATACACTCATCGACATGCCTGGGCATCGTGCTGATAAGGTGGAAGACGTCCTGTTGGGGTATCTCACCGCGCCCCAATCTACTCTTAAATCGACTTGGCTATTACTGGGCTGACTCAAAACGTTTCTACGTCTAGTTGCACTTGTTACTTGTCATTTTATTCAAATTCCCGAAGCTTTTGTGTGTAGTGTACCGAACCTGTATCCGTAAAGGCCAGCCTGTCTAGATAATTATCCAGAAAGTTATAACCTTTATGTTATTTTGATACCATCTCCCGATTTCAGTTGATATAGTACGAGTAGGTATGTAGTTTGAATTAATGGGCCGATTTGTGGGGCTACTTGAGTTAGATCATACTTCCAATACCACTTTTGGACTAGTGTGTTGCAATGCTTATTTTTCAAGGTGAAGACCAATATAGAATTACATCAGATTGCACCCCGCCATAATGACAGAGTATATAGAGTGTTGTCCGTGGAAATTCTACAACTATAGCAATGTTACCGATGCAAGAAAATTATTTTGTAAAAGTTATTCTTTTTTACACTTATACGCAATGTACTGTTGTAACGCTTCCTTTCCGCAAAAAGTCCAGAAAAGATGGAATGCAATAAAGATTCCAACTTTTCTGTACAATCACAGAAAAGGGGTTAGCATTAGCTTCCGGTAGCTCAGTCGGTGGCATGAAGACATCTACAGGCGTGTAGCTATATGTCGACCATGGCATGGCTAGAGGATAGAAGAACAAACAGAACACAAAAATTTAACAGATTTTATTTAACAAAAAAAAAGCATTTCCATTACATTACAATTTTACAGTTTTAAAGAACAAAATAAGTTTTACATCTTTGGCGCTGCTATAAAACTATCAACTTATCTTTCGCTGGTCCATTTTGACTCGACTGAAGCGGGGATGGCCAGGTGCTTGAAGTGGAGGTCCCAGTTATGAGGGGTGACCTCACATATAGTGGCTTCATAACCAGTTGTAGGCGAAGTTGAACTTAAAGGCGATGGCGCTGCCAAGGCACATGCATGGGTGAAGTGATAGGCCAAGCAACGCACAGTCAAAGACTAAGGCAAAAGTCAAAGACAAATGCAAAGGGAAAGGGAAAGAGAAAGGGAAAGGGAAAGAGAAAGGGGATGGCCCCAATCATTTTGTCCTATACGGACACACATTCTACAAAATTCTAGCACATGGTGCTATATGACCTTGTGCTACAGAGAAGAAAATTCTTAGCTCTTGTTCGATCGGCGGCTCAAGTGAAAAGGAAGCGCGAGGAAGATCGCAGATCAGGAACTCCGCATCAAGCGGTCCAAGCGGAAAATTTTCCAAGTAAAAAAGCTAGAGATGGGATTAATGAAATGATAATCGAGAAGTGATTTAATAAATACGATCGGACGGTGAAACCGTTACACTGTAATGGCAACATTACCATTATCGAAAGAGTACCCTGTTAAAATTCAACCAAAGCATAATTTTGTGAAACGATGGCTGCCGCCTCTTACGGTCAAAGTACAAAAAGTCTGCTGAATTGCGAATTGGTATACTGCGAGAGAAAGGTATAAATATGGATAGATCCGTATGATAGATACATGTAGATGTATCCTCTTTTTTACGAGTTTACTGCAAACAACTGAATAGAAAAAACTTTTTTATTTTACCCGATATAAGTCTATATCACCAACTTCAACAATCAGCTGGCTCCACCATCTTGGAAATTTCCACGACGGAGAGCACCAGGTAAATGTGTGCTATATAACATTATGAACACAGGAATTATTCTCAAAACCTGTAAGTTAATCACACAGCTCTTTAACTTTGTGGGCCCTATGCGGCATATCACATGATTTAGTTTAGTAACAATAGAGAAATGTGTACTTGAAATGCATGCTTT